CCAGAAGTACAGAGAGTAGTCGTGGAGCACATCATGAGAAAAGATGACTTTAGCCCTCAACTCATGTCCCCGCTGCGCCTCCGTACATTTTCTGGAAGAACGCCCAAACCAGCAAATGAAGCGGATTATGACTCGTGGCGTTCCCACATTGAACTTTTGCGTGCAGATCCCAGCCTGTCACAGTTGCATGTTACACGCCGCATCCTGGACAGTCTGCTCCCTCCCGCTGCGGATCTTGTTAAAGGCTTGGGACCCAATTCGCTGCCTGCCATGTTCATCCAAGTCCTTGACTCAGCTTTTGCCACTGTTCAGGATGGAGACGAGCTTTTTGCGCAATTTCTGAATACTCTTCAGGACCATGGAGAGAGGCCGTCCTCCTACCTGCAAAGGTTGCAGCTGACATTAGGTACAGTCATAAAGCGAGGTGGCATTTTACCAGGAGACACTGACAAACATCTATTAAAGCAGTTTTGCAGAGGGTGTTGGGACAATGCAGTCATCACAAAATTACAGTTGGAACAAAGGAGGGATAACCCACCCGCTTTTTCCGAACTATTGTTCCTGCTTCGAACTGAAGAGGATAGGCAGCTGGCCAAAGACTCTTTGATGAAGAAACATATTACTTCTTCAAAACAACGGGCCAGTTTGCAGTCCCACACAACACCCTCCTGCCCATGCGGTCAAGCAGACCCCACTGCCATAAATGAATTGAAGCAGCAAATGCAAAAACTGCAAAGTCAGATGTCTGCCTTGCTGGCTAAGACAATGCCTGCCTCTAATTCTAATGCAGATCGCCGGCAGGGCAAGCAAAAAGCTAAAACCAGTGGCTCAACAAAACCCAAGCCTTGGTTTTGTTTCAAGTGCGGCGAAGATGGACACATTGTTCCCTCGTGTACAAACCCTGCCAATCCCAGTCTTGTAGAGCAGAAACGAAGCCAACTCAGACAGAGACAGCTAGCATGGGATGCTAAGAACAAAATACCGTCAAACTAGACGCAGCTTCTTCTGAGGGACAAGTGGAAGCTGCCGTACACGAGCGTCCCCATAACAAACATGCCGCATTGCAACTTTCATTACCAAAAGGACTCATTGGAACAAAGAGCACCGGACAGGTCAGGATTAACGGAATGGATTTTAACTGCCTGTTTGACACCGGCTCTCAAGTCACCACTGTCACCCACTCGTTCTATAACTCATATTTGTCTGACCATGAGATCAAGCCGCTAGACAACTTGCTGGAGGTGGAAGGTGCTAACGGACAGGCAGTACCCTACTTGGGATATGTGGAGCTGGATGTTGAGTTTCCTGTGGAGCTTCTGGGTCAAGCAACGGCAGTTGAGACTCTTGCATTGGTGGTGCCTGATCTCCGCTCCTCACAGCTCTCTGTGCTCATTGGAACCAACACACTGGATGTAGTATATGCAAAACACTTTGGCACTAAAGACGTACAGTTCAGTCCGCTGCAATACGGATACAGGGCAGTGTTAAAGATGTTGGAGCACAGACACAATCTTACCATTAACGACCACCATGGCATCCTCAACCTGCAGTCCAGTAGTCCAACAGCCATCACCGCTGGGGCCACCGTTGTTTTGGACGCTTTAGCCATTGCTCCAGTCTTGCAAGGCGAGAGGGCTGCCATTGTGCAACACCCAGTTTCCTTCTCTCTGCCTGGTGGTCTCATGATAAAATCCTGCCTGGTAGATCTACTTCCGCAACAGCCATACCACCTGCCTGTAGTTGTTACAAATGAATCTGAGCATGATGTCATCTTGCCAGGGCGTATCGCCATTGCAGAGCTCTGTGCGATCCGGACAGTTCTACACCAGGAACACAGTGTACGCTTATTTGAGCAACAGCAGTCGGAGTCCAAGCTCAATTACAATTTCACAGATTCACCCATTTCACCCGAGTGGAAACAGCGCATTATTGCAAAGCTGGACGGCATCCCTGAGGTCTTTGCCAAACACGACATGGACTTTGGTTGCACCAATAAAGTTAAACACCAAATCAAGCTTGCTGATCCAACCCCGTTCAAGCAAAGACCCAGACCAATCCACCCACAAGATCGGGATGCTGTCAAACAACATCTTAAAGAGCTGCTGGATTCTGGCGTGATACGAGAATCGGACTCCCCATTTGCTTCCCCCATCGTAGTGGTACGCAAAAAGAACGGCAGCGTAAGGCTCTGTATTGATTATAGAAAGTTGAACACTCAAACCATTAAAGATGCATACCCTTTGCCCAAGCTCGAGGACACTTTCACTGCACTGTCCGGATCAAAATGGTTCTCCGTATTAGATTTGAAGTCGGGGTACTACCAAATCGAAATGGAGGAGTCTGACAAACCAAAAACTGCATTTGTCTGTCCAGTGGGATTCTGGGAATTTAATCGAATGCCACAAGGTGTCACTAATGCTCCCTCGACCTTCCAGCGACTCATGGAGAAGTGCATGGGTGATCTCCACCTGAAAGAAGCGCTAGTTTTCATTGACGATTTGATTGTATTCGCTCCTACCCTGGCAGAGCATGAAGAGAGGCTGATGAAGGTCCTACTGCGGCTAAAGGAGTTTGGCCTTAAGTTGTCTGTGGAGAAGTGCATCTTTTTCCAACAGTCAGTGCGGTATCTCGGGCATGTTGTGTCAAGGAATGGAGTTGAAACAGACCCAGATAAGATTGCCACTTTAACCTCATGGCCAGTGCCCCAGAATCTGAAGGAGCTTCGCTCATTCCTTGGTTTCGCTGGATACTACCGACGGTTTGTGAAGGATTACTCTTCAATCGTTAAACCGTTGAACGAGCTTACCTCGGGTTATCCACCGAGCCAGAAGAAAATGAAACAAACCGCAAAGCCCCAGGATTACTTAAATCCAAAGGAGCCTTTCGGGGGTCGCTGGTCTTTGGCATGCCAAACCGCTTTTGAAACCATCATACAAAAGCTAACATCTGCCCCAGTTCTGGCTTTTGCTGATACTAGCAAGCCGTACATTCTTCATACAGATGCCAGCTGCACCGGTCTTGGTGCAGTCTTGTATCAGGAACATGAGGGCAGGAAGAAAGTAGTCGCTTATGCTAGCCGAGGTTTGTCTCGGAGTGAAGCAAGATACTCTGCACACAAGCTAGAATTCTTGGCACTCAAGTGGGCGGTAACCGAGAAGCTGAGTGATTACTTGTATGGCACTCATTTTACTGTAGTCACAGACAGTAATCCTTTGACCTATCTCTTGACCTCCGCGAAACTTGACGCAACGAGCTACCGTTGGCTTTCGGCACTTTCCACGTACTCTTTTAAGATCATCTACAGAGCGGGAAAGCAAAATGCTGACGCGGATGGTCTCTCGCGTCGACCACATGAGGAGGTACCGGAAGACCACTTATCACAGAAGGAGCGTGAAAGGATATTAAGGTTTACCCAGCATCACCTTGAAGATCCTTCCTTAGTCTCCATCGACCAGCACACAGTCCACGCCATCTGTGAGCGACAGCTTGTATTCAGTTCCGCTAATGACGACAACATTACTGCTCTCGTCCAGACGCTTTCCACTGACCCACAATGTCTACCTGATGATTTTGTTGATGATGCACAGGTTGCTTCGTCCGTCATACCAGCTTTCTCTCATGCCGACATCTCAGCAAAACAACGTGCTGATCCCGTTTTGCAACATATCTTTGCCCAGCTGGAAAGAGGGGAAAGTCCACCTACCCCTCTGAGAACAGCGCTTCCAGACCTGCCTTTGATCCTACGAGAACTCCCGAAATTGGAGCTCCATCACGACGTTCTTGTGAGGAGGCGGCAGATTGGGAGTGAGATGTCTTACCAGCTGGTGTTGCCCGAAGAATACCGGTCTGAAGCTCTTTTCCAGCTGCATGACCAAATGGGACACTTGGGCATCGAGAGAACCCTAGATCTTGCGCGATCCCGGTTTTACTGGCCTCGCATGTCTGTAGACATTCACAACAAAATAAAGAACTGTGAAAGATGCATCAGACGGAAAACACACCCTGACAAAGCAGCTCCTCTGGTCAATATCACCACGACAAGGCCTTTAGAACTTGTATGCATGGACTTTTTGTCGCTGGAACCCGATCGAAGCAAGACCAAGGACATACTTGTCATAACTGATCACTTCACAAAGTATGCAGTTGCGGTTCCCACGCCAAACCAAAAAGCTAGGACCGTGGCTAAATGCTTGTGGGATAACTTCCTGGTGCATTACGGGATCCCTGAAAAGCTCCATAGTGATCAGGGACCCGATTTCGAAAGCCGCACCATCAAGGAATTCTGTGCAATGGCAGAAATAACCAAGACCCGAACTACCCCATACCACCCTCGGGGTAACCCAGTAGAGCGGTTCAATCGCACCCTTCTGGACATGCTCGGTACTCTTGAAAATCACCGCAAGACCCAATGGAAAGATTTTGTAAAACCATTGGTGCATGCATATAATTGTACCCGGAGTGATGTAACTGGTTTCTCCCCCTATGAGCTTATGTTCGGGCGCCAACCACGTCTTCCAATAGACCTCGCTTTTGGCCTGCCCTTGGGAGAGAAAGTGCAGACATCTCACTCTCAGTACGTCAGCAAGCTCAAAGCCCATCTTGAAGAGAGCTATAAAATTGCCATTGAGAATTCTGAGCGGTTGATGCTCAGGAACAAAACCAGATTTGACAAAAACATTACTGCTTCAGAGTTGTCTGTGGGTGATCGGGTGCTGGTGAAGAATGTGCGCATAAGGGGAAAGCACAAGATTGCAGATCGGTGGGAGCCAGAGGTCTATATTATCATCAAAAGATCTGGTCCACTTCCCGTCTACACTGTTGAACCAGAGAACAAAGATCGTCCTGTTCGAACACTGCACAGAGACCTTCTCTTACCTTGTGGCTTCCTTCCTTCTCCCGCAAAGCAAACCCAGCATAAGGGGGACCGTCCTTTGTCTTCGACAGGTTCGGGGCCCCCAGAATCCTCTGAAGATGGCGATGAAGACCTATCAGACAAAGGAATGTTTCCGAATGTGCCCCGCTCCATCCCAGAACCAATTCGATTCACTTCTGTGGTTGAGATTCCTTCTTCCTCACGCCCCACTTCCACTTCTCACTCACCCGAATTGCCTGTGGTTCCGCCTGGCCAGCAACCTCAGTCTATTCCAGATGAAGAAGTTCAAGTTGCAGTGGAACGTTGTGAGATGGAGCTTGAGCCTGAACCGGAGTCGAATGACTCGCATGACTATGAGAACTTACCTGATGATACCGTACCTGAACTCGAACCCGCAAATACTCACCTCGATCCAGAACCTGATGCAACATTGGAGCCAGTGGACAATTCTTCCTCTGATCCGGAGTCTCTCAGTTCTCCTCCTGACTCGCCCTCTGACCCCAATACGTCCAGTCCAGACATTGACCCACCGGTCCGCCGTCAAACCAGAGAACGCCGTCCCCCTGACCGATTGCAATATTCGAAACTTGGTCACCCCTTGTTGCATAGCATTCAGTCTTTGTTTCATGGACTAAGCACAGCGTTCAATTATGCTTTTGAACTCGATGAGGCCCAGCCAACCCTTGCCAGTGCCCAACCGGTCTGCTGTCAGCCTGTTGCATGTACAGGGCCGTACATGAGTTTAGGTGGGGAACGTGTAACCCGCATTTCCTAACATATTTTTATATTTATTATGGTTGCCCAACATTAATAATGTTTTAAGAATATTGCGGGCCAATAAATGGTGGAGGAATACAGCGTCAGCCCTGCTTCCCTCTAACCTGCGGGGTCATACCAGGTCATTCCCCCCGCCCCTTCCTTGACGGCTCTCTGTGACTGTGGTCTGTGGCGTGCGTCTGGCTTCTCGGCGTCTATTGCCTTTTACCGCGCTGATTTTGCCTCATATCATCTTTTACGTTGAATCTCCGATCCAGGGTGAGTCCATATACAAGTTATGGTCGTATTATGTGCTGCATATCGTTGTGAGCGCTCATGATCGCGTAACTTTCAGAGTATCAGCCAGTGTTTGTTAGCGGGGCTAACAAACCCAACAAACTACTCGGCCTGACATCATCCCACTTCGAATCTGACTCTGTACGTTCAATGGTGAGTTACTTTACAGCAGTTCGGGTTGTCTCTTTTGTGTTTAGCGAGTGATCTTACGTTATATGATGATGTTTCGTTTTGTTTGGTGGTAACCTCGCTGCCGCTCCTATTCAAAACTCCATTTACACACGGTCACTATTGTCCCTGTTTTACATGCGTCCGCGACGCACCAAGCATCGCGTCCAGCATTTAGATTGAGCTATTTTTAGTTCTGATTACGTGTGGAAACCTTGCCGTACTGCAGTAACGCGGCAACAGGTTTCCATCCTTTGTTAATTTGATATTTTTAACGTAGCTACGTGTTTATTTTTGATCGTTGCGCAACTTGACTGACTCTGCTTGCGTGTTTAAGTATTATTTCTTGATCTCTGCTCAAATAATCTATATCAGAGTATTTAATGAATTACTTGAGTATGTATTCAATGAATCAAACTGACTTAAAGTGCACTTGTTTTGAGATGTAGGTTCCTGAATCGAAGAACCTTTATGATATTGATCAGCTATTTAGTGGTTGATTTATGATTTGATTTTGGTTATAAATAATATAACTTTAGCGTATTTTACATAAAATATGTACCTTTTTGTAACAGTTACATATGGAAATATGTATCTACATTTACTTCTCTGTACATTCCACATGTACATCATGTACCTTTTAGTAGAATAGTTTATTTATACAAATGCTTATTTTGTGTTTTTGTTTGTTTTGACCTTTCCAGGTCAGGCTTTTGTTTTTACGTTGGATTATTGCAACGGCTCTTCGACCGACTGCAATCACCTTCTGATGGCGAGCTATTGTTCTACCTGAGTGGTAGGATCTTGAGTACTTGAACTTTTCTGAATCCCAAAAAGGAACTCTAAAGACTCTAAAAGGAGCTTAAAGTACAGTTATGAGCCCACCATAACTGAATTGAACTGACCTACCAAAGGACACTTTTTGTTTTTGTATTTTTATTTTTGTATTAAAAATATTTCCTTATATCTGCCCTATTTATAGCAACACATGTAAATAATGTAATATAGTTATCGCATACCTCACCTAATAATTATAGAATCTGTGACTACAATCAATATATATATATACTTTTCTAACAACGCAATTGATTTTGTCTGTGTTTCATTCACACACCTTGGCTCCTTGGCCGAATCTACTTCTGGTCAACCTAATTGTTCACTCTGCTACTAGCCTAGCGTTACACTGTACTGAAGTGGAGAGATTATTTATGTAATCTATGTAAACAATGAGGTTTTAAGTGTATATGGTCAAATACGACTATTTTTAGTGTATTTTTTTGAGATGCTCTAATGAAAAAAACTCTTGTATTTGCATCTATTCATTGTTTTTTTTTTACATAACTATTTCCAAAGGAGTGCAGGTAATGTGGTATTTGTTCAAAATGAAGCTGTGTAGGTTGTGAACAGTTTGTTTGAACTCATCCTGGTGAATCCTTCATATATTCAGCTCCTCCTCTCTCTTCCACACTCCCCCTTCATCGCTTCCTGACCATCGGACGTTTCAGATGTTTTCACGTAAAATGATCGATTCGTTTACTCCTTGACGTGACCTTTAGCTACTGTATGTTTGACCCGCATTTAGCCTTTGACCGCGGAAACCCTACCCCAGCTCAAACACTCTGACCTGGGACGTCCCAGAGGAAGCAGCCCCCGGCCCTCCCCCATTCATCCATTAGTCTTTAGGTGTTGATCTGCTTTGAGAAGTCACATGGGTCTCTTTGGACAGTTGAAGCTCATTTTGATTTTGCCTTTTCATCATTCTGTGCAGCTTCTAATATGGATACATAATAAATCAAGACTCTTTTCTACTTTCCAGAAGTTTCTGCAATAAAGGGCTTTGGTTCTGTCAATGTGGTGAAATGTTCATATACAGAGGCTATAAATGGTGAATAATGAATAATGGTGAACTGGTGAATAACATGCGGTCTTCCTCTCACTAAAAACTAGTTAATCTTTTATATCTGAGCCATGTGAGTCACTGTATGAAGTTTTGGGCTGGGAGCTGGTCCTGTCTTTTTCCCCTTTCTGTCTGAAAAAAGCTGATTTTAAGATGTGACTGAGGCTGAAAATAAATGTGAAAACTAGTGATATTGAACCAAACTGTTCTGAGAGCGAGGAACTGTATGTATTTTATAATTTTAATCTTCTTCGTGGTTTGAAAGTTGGGTACCTCAGCTTTAATTCAGCAAATAGCACTTTGTTGTGTTCATTCAGCTGTAAATATATTTACAGTGAGGTGAAGGGGGAAGTGTGTTGTGGCTTAGAAACTTTTTGGCGTTTTTTTTGTTTTTTTACCATTCAAACACATATTTTCAGACAGCAAATACAATATTAGGTGGACCGTCAATTCACAAACACACTGCGTCCATTTTGAATCCACACCATGTGCCCAAAACATTGCTTAAAGTGATTTACAAGTGGTTATTGTTGTATCTCTTCTCCTTCCCCATGTTGCCTTTTTGAACTAACATGAACGTGTTATAGGCCTGATTATGAAAGTGATGTCGTAAAGCTTGAATTGTGTCTGTTCAGCAAAAACCTCGGTCTCTGCTGAGCTTCAACAACAGAACCTCAAACACACATTGATCCATGAGTCCCAAGAAACGTTTTAAGTATCAATTATTTATCTACACTCTCCCTGCAACTTTTACCTTGTTTACATCCCATAGTGTCAAAAGAAGCCATACTGTGAACATTGATGATTATTATTTCTTATTAGTCTATTTTCAGATATTATTTAGTTGTATAGAAATTGTATGTCTGCACTTACTTTGTCAATATTTGGTTAAAAATTATAATCAAAGAGACATTTGTATTTTTGACAAATTTCACAGGACACAACGTCAACACACAAATCAATCAAACTTTTAAAACTAATTTATTCTTGAATTTAAAATACAATTAACCTGATAACCACGTTGTTATTGTATTAATTTAACATTACCTAATCAGACAACAGAATTAATCTTTCATTTGGGTTGCACCAGCTGTTTGGATTTCTACCTAAAGGTCGGACTAAACAGCAGTGTGTGTGTGTGTGTGTGTGTGTGTGGGTGTGGGTGTGTGTGTGTGTGCTGATTGTGTAGAAAACATACTACCAGTCTCTAGTCTCCTGGTCCAGACTCCTGGTCCGGAGACCAGAGACTGGACCAGAGTCATTCAGGACATTGAACTCACATTCACACATTGCAAACATGTATCTTGTTAGTTGCAACTTTTGTGATTGCCTGTGTAATCTGGTACTGTGTGTTTTCGATAGATTTTTTTCTGTCTATCAAATTTGCAAACTAAGTTCTCAAAGCGTTTTCAAATGTTGTTGTACCAGTAACTCCCATGACCAAAGCAAGCCTCCGAAACACCCGGTGCATTAATGCCTCTTACCATCACCATCCTTTCAATCTCTCATCACATTCAGACCTATTGTACATGTATTTAGTGGTGGGGGAAACCGAAGCACCCGGAGGAAACCTACATAGACATGGGGAGAACATGCAAACCCCACACAGAAAGGCCGTGAGGTGGAATCAAACCCAAGACAACACAAATCCCACACAATTCCCATGCAGATTTCAATGATGACTGAATAAAAATGTCATATTTTCTTCATAATCCATCCTTTTTCCTACAACATTGCATAATCCATGTCTCATCAGATTGCAGTGTTTTCCTCTGGTGTCTCTGGTCTTGTTTCTACCTGTCGGATTGGGGTGTCTCTGTCTCGTCAGTGGGGTCACCTCCTCCTCCCCTCTCCTCCTTTTTGCCTGGGCACAATCTAATTTGCCGCGCTGAAAGGACAAGGAGACATTGATTGAAATTTTGCCCGGGGACGTTGCACTGCTCTCCGGTTTCACACGAGGCTGTAGCGGAGCGGAGTTTGACCCATCGTTTACCACAATAAACGCCACAAAGAAGCAGCAGCGAGAGGCCGCCTTCACATGGACGTTTGACACCAGAAATGAATTGACATTTCAAGGTTGTTGGCTCTTTTTTTATTGGTTATTATGTATGACATGAATTTGTACAGCACCGTTGTACATGGGTCATGAAAAGAACAGAACTTTCAAACCTCAAAACATGTGAATATCCATGTATCTAGTACCAACTTCTTTAGATCTTTGAATCTTTGTGTCTTTGAAATGGTTGAATTTAAGATTAAGGTATACTTTATTGTCCCAGTAGAGACATTTGTCCCCTGGATTTGACGCATGCTTCAATGCGACTATAGGCCAAACTGTCAGGAGTCCCCTCCTCAGATGCAAGGCGCAGTTCTCCTGATAAAGGGAAAAAGCCACATTAATAAGTAGTTACTACATTTTGAGTGGTATACAGGTTGAAAACTTTTGTTCTCCAGTTGTCTTTGTATTAATGGTAAAAAGACAAGTTTGTGATTTTAGCTCTAAAATATTGGTGTGCTCTTCATCCACTCACAGTATCAGTATTGTTGTGACTAGAAGGCTACGCAGGCTCACTTATGAACAACTGTTTAGTTAGTTATTTGAAGACTGTTTCTCCTCAGACTAAAACGAAGGAGCCTCCCTAGCTACTTATTTAGCAAAACAGCTAATGTTAGCATTATAGCAACGTCAGCTGTTTGTTATAGCGGCGCTATAAGTGAGCTGGCTTTAACTTGACTGATCATGATTACATCAGGTCACAGCGGGTTCTCTTCTGGTGGTGGAGAATGCGGCGCTGAATGCGACTCTGCCTCGGCTGTTGTGAGAACGTTTTTTTTTCAGCGTGAGAGAGCTGAGAGCATCTGGATTTGGGTACTATCTACCAAGCTGGAGAGGTGACGATTCCGGGGCTTTTTTGCTCTCTCACTATATTTTTTTTTTGTGTCCTCTTTTTTGGACTGAAAAAGCGTTTAAATTTGTTTTTCCATGTCCGTATTCCAGGGATTTCTGAGGGGTGATTGGTCTCTGCCGATGGAAACTAGTTCCCGGTACTAGTGAGCGCTGGTTCATGATCTGGAGACCCCGGGTTGGACGTGGAAAAGCTGAAATTTGGTGGACTTTTGACTGTGCCTGGGCCCTGTTCGACAAAAGGTAAGAGCGGAGACCTGTTTATTCAAAGTCTGCACTAAAGGAACAGAATGGTTTTGAGGTGTTTAGCCAATAATGAAAGAAGATTATAGACTTCCTTCAGAACTTAATGAAAGAGGGCATTATTGAAAAACCACTATATTACGAACTTTACCCAGGAGACACCATCCCCAGTATTTATGGCCTCCCAAAAATACACAAACAAAACTTTCCACTTCGGCCTATTGTATGTAGCATAGACTCTATCACCTACAACCTGGCTAAACACCTCAAAACCATTCTGGCTCCTTTGGTGGGTAACACCCGACAAACTAACCAATTGAGACAGACAGATGACATTGACCCCATTGTTAAACCTGGTGATTGGATATTCATCAAAGTTCAGAATAGATCCAAATGGACCTCCCTGTGCAATTAGTCACTTTATATGGTCCTGTCTGGTATGGCTGCTTCCATTTGGATCTATTCTGAACTTTGATGAATATCCAATCACCAGGTTTAACAATGGGGTCAATGTCATCTGTCTGTCTCAATTGGTTAGTTTGTCGGGTGTTACCCACCAAAGGAGCCAGAATGGTTTTGAGGTGTTTAGCCAGGTTGTAGGTGATAGAGTCTATGCTACATACAATAGGCCGAAGTGGAAAGTTTTGTTTGTGTATTTTTGGGAGGCCATAAATACTGGGGATGGTGTCTCCTGGGTAAAGTTCGTAATATAGTGGTTTTTCAATAATGCCCTCTTTCATTAAGTTCTGAAGGAAGTCTATAATCTTCTTTCATTATTGGCTAAACACCTCAAAACCATTCTGGCTCCTTTGGTGGGTAACACCCACCATCACATAGAAAACACAAAAGAATTTGTAAATAAAATCAAACACCTCCAGTTTGACAGAGATGAGACAATGGTCTCGTTTGATGTGACATCGCTTTTTACGTCGGTCCCTATTACAGAGGCGGTGGAGGCTGTAAGAGAAAGCCTACAGAAAGACGCCACACTAGGGGAGAGAACGAAACTAACAGCTGACCACATCTGTGAAATACTTGAAATGTGTCTTAACACCACGTATTTCCAATTTAGAGGCACCTTCTTTAGACAGATTCATGGCTGTGCGATGGGCTCCCCAGTCTCTCCTATAGTGGCCAATCTGTATATGGAGAAACTGGAGGAACATGCCCTGGGCTCTTACCAAGGGACAGCGCCAAGCCATTGGTTTCGATATGTAGACGATACATGGGTTAAGTTAAAGAAACAGGAAGTGGAACCATTTTCAGCACACATTAACTCGGTGGACCCTTTTATAAATTTCACTCGCGAGGATGCTAAGGAGAGAGAACTCGCCTTTCTAGATTGTAAGGTCATCATACTGGAGAACGGACAATTAGAGACTGAGGTCTTCAGAAAGTCCACTCACACTGACCAGTACTTGGCTTTTGATTCAAATCATCAGCTACAACACAAACTCGGGGTCATTAGAACGCTTCAACACAGAGCCCACCAGGTCCCCACGAGCTCGGAGGGAAAGAACAAAGAAACCAAACATGTTCAGAGAGCACTTTCCAGATGTGGCTACCCCAAGTGGTCTTTTACTAAAGCCCAAAGGACGAGAAAGGCCAGAGACACAGTCCTACAGACAGAAGAAAGTAGGAGGAGAGGGGTGTCCTTACCGTATGTGGCGGGAGTTTCAGAGAAACTACAAAGAATCTTTAGGCAACACAAAATCCCTGTGTATTTCAAACCTTTCAACACGTTAAGACAGAAATTAGTGCATCCCAAAGACAAAACACCCAGACACAAACAGAGCAATGTGGTGTATTCAATTAAATGTAGTGAAGAGGAGTGCACTGACCACTATATTGGAGAAACCAAACAAACTCTACAGAAACGACTTTACCAACATCGTAGAGAAAACTCTAGTGGGCCACAGTCGGCTGTTCATCTCCACCTGAAGGCCTCCAACCACACGGTGGATGACACAGAGGTTAAAATTCTGGCTCGGGAGAAGAATTGGTTTGAGAGAGGGGTGAAAGAAGCCATTTTTGTGAGGAAACAGAAACCTTCTCTTAACAGAGGAGGAGGGTTAAGATTTGTTTTGCCTCGCATCTATGACGACATCCTAAAAACAACGCCCTAACTTGGGACAAGGTCAGTGACATGCTAATGAGTTAGGAGGGGTGAAACCTGCACTCCCACTTGATGATCCCAGCAGACAATAGGTCTGTGACATGCTAAGGAGTTAGGGTCGTTAGCCTCAGCAGGGTCGTTAGACCTGCTCCCTTCTACATCAAGCAGACCTGAGATTGTTTACGAGTTAGTATCAGGGTTAGGGTGTGGCTTACCACACCCATAGGTTATAAATCTCCAACGCGCAGTCCGAGAATTCATTCCCTGAAGAAGTCCCCAGGTTGAGGACGAAACGTCAGGAAAACTTGCTAAGAAGTACAGATGATGGGTGAGAAACCTTCCTTTGCTTTGACTAATCCCTGTACGACTGAGGGCTTACACAAAACAATATACTGTAGAAATCAGAGCCATCAAACATGTTTTAAATAATTGTTTCTTCTCATTTATCCACTAAAAGTTGTTTTCAGTGCTTAAGGAATTTATTTTCTTGTGTATTCTTCGTTAATAAAATCATCTTGAGCTAAAATCTTGCTGTTCAAGCTGTTCATACAAGTAGGAGAAGTTTATTTGTATTTATTTATTTTTTAATGTATTGATTTAAGTGACTTTAAAGAACATTTCTGGAAAATTCCTGTTTTACCTACAAAGTTAGTTCCTGGGCAAGGTGAAAATATGTCAATATAGACACCTACCTTAGTAATCAACAACAAAAATAGGATAGAGTCAAACATCTAGTTCAGTCATTTAGTTTGAGTTATTTAGTCCTTTTCCAAACATATGAATAATGTGAGTCATTTCAAATCCATGTATGTTGTGGAGACTGTGGCTCTGACAGCAGGTAAATGTTTAGTTCTTACATCTCCTCTGAGCAGTTCTCTGGCCGCTCCATCCTGTATCCCGTCTTCAGGAGGTTGAACAGACGCTCTGGGGCGATGCCTGGGTACGGGTTTCCTCCCAGTGTCACGATCTCCCACAGCAGAACCCCAAAGGACCACCTGGAGGAGGAACACATCATAGTATTGTATTGATATTTGTGTTATTGTATTGCTCCACCACATGCAAACAATTTTCCCCTTGGGGACATTAAAGTGTTTTAGTTGAAAACCAGTGCAAAAGTACGTTGCGTTTATACTTACACGTCACTTTGCGTTGTGTAAATGTGATCGAATAATGACTCTATGGCCATCCACTTCACAGGTATACGGCCCTGAGAACACACACACACACACACACACCTTAGCTTGAATACATTTTGCAAAAACACAATAATACACAATATACTAAATGATAGATAACACACTCTGTATATTGTATGATTGAAACACAGCTCACCTTGCTCCTCTTCACGTATGAATCCTCCTCGTAAACATCTCGCGACAAACCGAAGTCTGAAATCTTCATCTTTCTGCCTTCAGCCACCAAAACGTTGCGAGCCGCGAGGTCCCTGTGAACCAGCTGCAAGACAAACACAGGTTTTCAAGCTGTCGACAAGAAGAAACTTGAGAAAAATCCTCTCGAAGCAGCAAAGAGACAGTCCAATCGGTAAAAAATACTTTATTTAAAATGAGTTCTTCTGAAATTGACCCATTGATCTTTTTGAAATAGCCTTTGAATAAAAACTTGTTTATATACACCAACGACACAGTGTTGTTCTCATAATACCTGAAAGGAAAAGATGTTTAATCCCTCATTTGTCAGAGAGAGCCACTATTTTACAAAAATATTCTTGTTCTGGGAAAAAATAACATCTCTACTCTGTAAACCTGGTTCTGTGAAAGAATCCTTAAATATTCATATTCATTCATATATTCTGTTTGTATTGTCCTATGCACCTGCTGTGTTCATACATGTGTGTGTGAGTACCTTCATTTCGGCCAGGTACTGCATGCCTCTGGAGATCTGCCAGGCAAATGATATGAGGTCTCCCATGGTCAGCGCGCGGTCGTCTGGGTTTTCTAAATAACTGGAGTTTCTGTTGGCGTCTCGGCCCATGTAGCTCGGCCCGACCTTCCGGCTCTCGCGGAGGAAGTTTCGCAGAGATCCAAACTTGGCGTATTCCACAATCAGATACATCGGACCTTTGTGGGAGAGACATGTTTAGGTCCTACTCCAGAACACATCACTGATCCACGCTAATTATGTCAACACTTCTGGAAGTAATCCACGAGATGGGACTGTTGCTTTTTTGTGACCATCTCCATTCTTGACAGTATGCATATCTGTGTTTTTCATATTCTTAAAAAAAAAATATATATATTTGAGTTTAAGCATTAACACATACTGTATTATGTATATACTGTATTTATGAATGCAAGTCAAGTAGAAGTTGAGTGCAAAAAACTCTTAGTAAAGACAACTTTTGTCCAATTTAATATGCATTATTAAATTGGACAAAATACCAGACATGTAATACCAGACATCTTTTTTATTTTTATGTACCTTTATTTTCCCTTGTGCTCCTGTTTAGGTACATGTATACTGAATCAAATAATACTGGTAAATGGTTTTGGAATGGAATAGAAAATGCATACAATAAAATAAATAAAATAAAATAAAAACTTGTCGGTTTATGAAAATGTCTCTTAGTTCTGTCAAGTCAGAGGATATAGGACAGTTATGAAACACCTTGATTCTCAAATAAAACTCATATAAATGTTTGCTGTTCTGAGATGAGCTCACCGTCTTGGCTGCAGGCGCCGAACATCTTGATGACGTGCGGATGATTGACCTGCTTCAGTAACGTGAACTCCGACAGCAGGTCCCGTAACTCACTGTGAGAGGCGTTTTCTATTAGACAAAGAGACACCGGATTAAATGATGAAGCATCCGTCTCTTCGGACACTGACGGCTCATATTTCAGACACATCTTTCACTCTTCCTTAAAGCGACAGAATGTGAGATGTGGACTTTTCATTCCATAAAAGTGTGTCCATCTGTCTCTCTCCTCGTTGCTACAAACATGAAGGCCAGGTTTATGTTAATATTTTGATTCAGAAGCTGTTTATGCATCACAAAGTAGAACAAGTTTCAATGTTTCAATGTTGCTGAAATCCAGGCTATTTGAGTATAATGACATATTGAATCACTAAACAGAATAAAAGAGTCTGGAGCTGGGCCAAACGGTCCATATACCGAGAATGACAAAAGCTTGTTTATGTGCTCAATATACAGGATGAGAATCTGCTTTAAAATATTAACATTGATGTCTGCGGAGAGAACAGAATATCCTGCCTCTTTATAAATATTACATTACGGCTCACAGTCGGGGCACAGAGAGTGAAAGGCTGAAGTTTTGACACTGGTTTGGCTGAATCCTAAATCAAGATCAGATTTAAGACAAATACTACCTGTCCTGCTAAATCTAATAATTATATAACAAATAATACAAATCATTACACATTCAATACATGTATAATGTGGGTATAATCAGCCCCTCCGTCCAACCATTCACACTCGCACCAGACTCATTCTAGGCAATGTGTGTCTTGCCCAAGGACACTACAACAGCTTGGCAGTTTACAGCCGTCCAACTGTGGCACCTGGTGTTCCCAGAGGTCTCCCATCACAGCACTGACCAAGCTTTGCCCTGCTTAGCTTCTGTGGTCTGACAGGATCTGACTTTCGCATTCAGGTGGCGTCACTATCCAATGGTCATCACAACATTTACCAGGAATATTTCAAAATCCCGTGAAATAATCTCATGTAATATTGTCAGATTCACAGCGTGTGCTTTCTATATTGGATTCATACTTGGTCCATGTGAGGAACTGAAATCTCTCCATCTCACATCTGCCTGCAGTCTGTTCTCTTCTCACCTTTGAGCATTTTCACAGCCACAGTTGTGTATCCAGCTTTTCCTTTCAGCCTGAACGCCGTTGCCTTGACAACCTTCCCAAACTCTCCCTCTCCCAGAGTCTTTCCCAGCACCAGGTTTTTGCGCGGAAACTCCCACTTCGGATCCTCCTGCGAAACACACGTCCAGTGTTAGTTTGACTACGAGCTGAGAAATGCAGTCGTTCAAGCAGGCAGCAAAATGTGTCCAATAAAATACATTATATTCACAGCACTGTAGCACCAATGTTGTTCTTATTCCAAGTGGGGAATTGTTTAGGTGCAGGTGAAACTTGGAAAATGATAATGTCCATTTACTTCTACACTGCAAAGAGCACACTGAAAAATAAGTGGAGAAATTGCTAAAAATTTGGGAAAATGTATCTTAATTTGAGCACATTTTGACTGAATTAAAACCAAACAAAATGATCTTACAAGAAATGTCTCCCTTGGAATCAGGAAATAAAGCAAAAGATCTTGAAATGAGACTAAATGGCTTTGTACCATTGGCAAATCTTGTTTAAGGTAAAAAGATAAAACCACTCGCTTCAAGCAATTATCACCTGTTATCATTTTTTGCAGAGCACCGTTCAACTTACAATGTGAAACTACTACATTGATCATCTGACCTGCTTCATTGGAGGTTTGTGCCTTGACTTTTAACGCCAACAAAGTTGTTGTTTTATATTTAACATGAATTTGTGTGTATTCAGTCTGCTTTCTTTTTTCTATTTAGGTTTTCTTTTGTGCATTAGAAGCACTCTGAGCAGCCGGTCTTGGTGTAAATGTGCTGTACGAATAAAGCTGACATTGACATATGATACAGACTCATTACGTGCCGAGCAGCATATGCCGAGCCTTTGCATTGGCAGATGGTATAATGTTGATAATTGTCTCAAAGCTGGTAAAAAGAAACACACGCTTACAGTCCATTATATATCCATATTCAAATGTACCAGCCATAAGCCATAAAATTACAAAAAACAAATGCTTGAAGTATGTCACGTTGAAGGTAAGCAAACTATACTGGTTTCACATTATATATTTTTTTTAACTAATTCTCCTGTAATGTAATTGGCTAAGTGCTGATGCTGCTGTAAAGATCTGCTTTGAGAGATACTGTAGGAACAAGTTAGATGGTTATTACATTTACATTTGTGGTTTCAATATTAGGTGCCCTAGCTTTAATTAAGTCAGAACATATTCAAATCAAGACAATCATTAATTCATTAAAGCACATATTCTCTTAGTTTTGTATGAGTTTGTGCAGTGTAAGTTTCTCTCACGGGTATCTTGAAAGTGTCTGTCTCGATGGACTCCTGGGAGCCTCGGCGGAGGTTGTTGGCGTTGAAGCTGATGGGATAGGCCTGAGCCGGGCGCCTGAAGGTCATCTCTGCGGAGGCGATGGGAGGTTTGGGGGAGTTCTTGTGGTAGCGGTGGATGAAGTAGGATGAGAGCAGGATAGAGATGATGAAGGAGAGCAGCAGCGCGGTGGCAATGATGGTTTTACACATGTCGTCGCAGATTGCCACTGGAAACCGATACAGGTCTAGTTATGTACAGACGGAAGAGTCAAGGATTTATTCGTAATGTGAACTGTAAACACATAAGTTGTAGGAGCCAAATGAGAAACGCATTTAGTTGTACAGCCCCCCATGGACACTTCTGTCTCCCTCTAGTGGACAATGTGGGGAAGGACCATATAAGGTGTGCAGTGTCACCTGGAGGTGTGGCTGCAGCAGGAAGACACATCTGCCCCATCCTGAGTTTTTCCAAGAATCTGAATATTTTTTTAATTCAAGATTCTGGTGGACATTTCTTATTTTCATGTTGGGAAAATACATTGTACCTTATTTATATACTAATGTCTTATATGGCTCTTCTAAGATGATAGTTAGCCCAACACTGTTCCAGTTGAGAACCACTTGTTTTGAACTTTAGGGCCTCAGCTCCCTCCCATCCGGGTACTAACCAGGTCCCACATTGCTTATCTTCTGAGATATTGGTTTGACAGATCTTTGTACTGACCCTCATCGTCCTCTTTCTCACAGAAGCACCTCTCCGTGAGGCAGTAGCAGGTGCCGTATCCGGCCTGGATCCCTCGCTCTAGGCCTCGCTCGTGTCCTCCCACCACCAGGTCCTCTGCAACACAACACACACATGTTACACACAGGTTACACATACACATACACGTACACACACACAAACACACCAGTGCAGTCTTGGGGGCAGATGGAAGGGGCTTTGCTTTCAACGGCGTCACAGATACTATCCGGACATGTCCGCAGGTCTGGGGAGCAGGTGGAGTATGATTCAGAAATACCTGCAGGAATTAATAGGGAAACATAAAACAATAATAGGGGGACATAAAACAATAACAAATACAACCCATGCTGCTACTTGTTTATAAGTGTCAGTACATACATTAGAAGTTAGATGTACCACCAAATATATTGTTACTTGAAAGATTATATTTCTCTCTCAACCAGCCTTCACTGTACATGACAGACAAGACCAGCCAATCTTAATGTGAAGAAAAACACACTAGTCTCCAGCAGAGGGTGCAAGCTCACAGCGGTATACAGTAGTTTTATCTTTTCTATAGACAAACTTGTAATAAAGTCATATGTTGCCAAAATTAGATAAACAAGTAATTGCATAAACATATACATTTGTAAAAAATACGGGAAGGATGTGACTCTTATTTACAAATGTGAATTGAAAGAACTGGTACCAAACAGAAATATGACGCAATTTCTGTGTAGTGTTTGTAGTTGAGTCAATCCTGTAAAAATGAGTCAGAACTATAAAACATGTGCGTTTCATGAGAAGAGACTAATAATGTGAAAAGTACATTTGGTGTAGCATATGGGGAGTACCTCTCTCGTTGCCCTGTCTCCACTGGCACCTGCCATTGGTGGCTCCTAAGCCTCTCACAGATTCACACTCTCCACGACGTTTGTTTCCGGCACAAGACGAGAACTCCTGAGCCTCCTGAGCATTAGCGGCTGACGACCAAAAGTCAAAGGTAAAACAGTTATGATTTTAAATTTGGTTTTAGAGTGATCAAGTTTGACCAATTTCTCCAGCATTGACAAATATCCATTGTTCTTGTCTATTTGGTGATTTTTCTCCCCAAACTAGTAGAGATATAGACTCCCATGCCAGCTGAGAGACACAGTGCCTCCACAGACTTCTCCCATTGGGACATGCCAGGAACACATCTTCAGGGAGAATGTCATCTGTCATTTCAGCTGGCTTTGTAAATGCAGAGGAGTTGTGGATCTACTCTGAGCTCCCTACAGTACAGTGTTTTGGAAGGGGGACCCAGCAACTCATTTCAATCGTTTGAATCTGAAAGCCTTATCTTTTCGGTCCAAAAGCTTCATTACAGTACATATTTTACATCTTTTGTTTATCTAACTCTCAAACCACAATAAACTCAGCTATATAATACAATGCTAACTAGATACTGGCTTTAAAACAGTTTGGTTCTATCACTAGTTTTTACATGCATATTTAAAGAGATACATGCACATACTGTAGATGGAATGTCTCTCACCATCTCCCTCCAGCAGTACTACTATTTGCACAATGGTCTCTTCCTGCGTGTGTCCCTCCACTGCCACCACAGTGTAGACCAGCTCTCTGCACTCGGGACGTCCCAGCGGTTCCGTGTCATTCACAAACAGTAGCCCCCATGGCTTCTCCGCGGCCTGGGACACAGAGACCGCGCTGTAGCAAGACTGCAGGCTGGAGGACAGGTTTCGATCAGGGACCTCCAGACGATAGGAGACAGTGAAGCCGTCGAACTCAGGGCAGTTGTCCACACACACGCGGCCCACCTGGAGATACATGGGACAAATGAGTGGCTCTATGTGACATCAAGTGTATGTGATGGACTTCGTTTTTGATGATCCTGGTAAATATTTGTAGTAGTGTGCTGTGTGTGCTCAAACTTTCGAGCCTGGACACTTGGGTGCCAATCACAAAACAGGGTAGGACGGCAAGATGATGTAATTACTATAAGCTTGTAGTTTGTTTACAGATCCAGCAGATGCAAAGCTACCCTCCCACTGCAGTAATCTTTTGCACTATTGTGTAAACATACTTTGCAGCCACACCTTCCCCAGGTGGGGGGTGTTAGCCAGACTACAGTACATGGACATTCACATCAATAAGGGTCAAAAATTTCACAAAGCACTATGAGATTACTGTTGCACTATAAAAATACTGTATATGAATTAATGCAATAATTGATATAGAGTTCTTTAAACACATTTATATTCCACACCTGTGCATAGACAGAAGCTCGTCGCGACACACTATAGACCTGTGTGACGTTGGGGAAAGTGATTTTCACTGGTAAAACTGTGACGTTGAAGTGCAGCAGGACGGTTCCTCTGAGGCCTGGGTACGTCGTGTCGTTCACCAGATAATGCAGCTGCACCGAGCGGTTTTCAGTCACAACCAAACTCCTCTTCAACACCAGCTCTGGGACACGGGAGAAACAGTCACGATTGGACCAAATGTGAGTTTTATTACATCTTATGCCTGCACTGCAAAATGAGAAAATGTATAACTCTTTTAAAACAAACGTATTGCCTACTGATTCAGTTTAGTAGTTTCTCAGGTGAAAATATTTACAATTGCATGTGTTGGCAGCCAGTAATTTCAAATTTTCTAGAAAAACAAAATAACTTATTTGCCTCCCTCTGGTGGTAGAATAGGGAATTACGGGCAGAGATACTTTTCTACTGTCATACCAATGTCACCACATGTTTTCTCCTCACGACATTATTTCACATCCTAAATCATGAAAGGACAAAGAATACATAACAATTCTTCTTGATGTGCCCTTACTGTAGTCATGGACAGTTTCTCTGATTCCTCCAAGAGCGTTTTTCTTTTCCCTGAATGTTCCCTTGAGGTCAAACGTTTCTTTAATCCATGGGTCACTGTTCAGCGAGGTCCAAACGTATTTATTCTGGTTCTGCTCTGGATAGATGGGGGTCAGGTCTCTGTCGTAAACAAACAAGGTGCCGAACAAACCTCCCTGGAATTGAAATATACAGTTATGTTTAGAGTTTGAACATATTCTAACAATATTCTAACAATAGGCAGACACATCATACATCTGTCTGCTGAATGTGTGCATGGGACCAGTCCTCTCAAACTGCAACCAGTTATCACGCTGATAGAAATCATTTGAAAGATAGTTCTCTCACAAAAACAACCATATATTCTAATCATAAACATTGAAACCATAATGCAATTAATAATAATAAAAAGGCTATAAGATGCCTTCTTTACTTTTGATGCAGTTTTGGTTCAGTTCAAGCTGTTTTGATTTGCTTTAAATTTTGTTCAGTAAAATGGTTAAAGTTATATAGAGCAGAACCAATTAAAATAACCCCATGATAAAAATAAAAAAACATAGAATATAAAAATATACATTGTACATATTATGCCATTATGCTTCTTGCTTCTTCATTATGCCAGACTTTAGACTTGTTTTTCCTTATAGTATAGAGCTTTAGATCATATATTTTGTCTTGTGTGCTCTTAATTCCTACTCTTCTGTAACCAGTGATGCAACACTGAAATTTCCCCACTGTGGAATGAATAGAGGATCTCTTTATCTTAACACTTACTTATTTACTTACCTACTCTTAGTAAATACATTAAAATAGCCACACACAAAAACAATTATTACAAAAAATGGAGCTACTACAAACTTCCCATGAACCTAATGATGGCAACATTTATGTAAAACCTAAGAAAACAGTCAAGTATGTGTGGACCACATTAGCTGCAGCAGTCAGACCTTGGTCCTGTTGTAGCTGATGGTGATGTCTGCAGTGTCCGTCCCGTTGATGAAGGGTGCGTTGTCGTCTTCATCGTTGACAAAGACTTCGAGAGGCGTCTCCAGGTTTGTGATGACCGCCTCTGTCCTGATGGTGCACAGGAGCAGCAGCCGGTACCGCTCACTCTCCTCACGGTCCAGCGGGGCGGTCACGATCAGCTCCCAGGTCGAGTCGTTGACCGCGAAAGGGGCCGGCGACTCTGCATACATGTAAATACTGTATGTTTATGTAAGTACAGTATGTGTGGGATAAGAATGTTTGAATTTACAGCAGAAGGAGATGAAAGACTTTGAATGTAGTGGATAAAGGTGATGATGTAGTTCAACGGTCTACATTAAATACACAATCTTCTCTTTCTCGTTTTATCAGCTCTGCTCTACGGATTTTGGGTTGGAAAACTTCCATTGTACAAAAATAATGTACAAAGTTACCCTAACGTCTGGCTCATACTGCACAGTGTGTTGTGTGTAACTTTTGAATGCGCTGGAAATGGCAGAAAGTCCTAAGTAGCTCTGAAACAGTTGTTGTTTTGTGCTTTACCATTGTTTTTTTTTTTTTTTTACTTTTTTTCTGCAGTACAGTGTTCATGGTTTCACACTGGTCCAGACCCGAGCAGAGAGGATTCATGGTCGGAACCAAGCAGATCAGCCGAAAAACCTGGAGGAATGCTAACTTTGTGAAAAATGCTAATGAAGCATTTAGCATTTTACTTTGGACTAAAAATGGTCCGAACCAAGCGGCTACTCCACCTTTTGACCTGTCCTGCTCCACCCAGAGGCTACTCCATCTTTGCTGCTTTGACCTGAAGTGCTGTTGCTTGTTACTATTGTTAGCTTATTAGAATGATCAATTTATTTGTTTTGTTTGTTTACGGGGATCAATAAAGAATCTATCTATCTATCTATCTATCTACAGTGGACTGAAAACTTTCTCCGGTCTGAGTCCTCACATTGTAACTCACGGCTCCTTGCTGTTTAATCTATACCTGATAAAAGTCTATTGTTAACAACAGTGATGAAGCTCCAGTATTTCCCTCTGACCTGACTCCACGCTGTAGGTGATGGTGTAATTGGGACACACTCTGGCTCGGCTCAGCCTCTGCAGCTGCTTCAGGGCTCCTGGAAACCTGTTCTCCATGATGTGGGGGATGGAGGTGTCTCTGTGGGGGAAACACAGCTCTTTGGGGTCGGTGTGTGCACACTCGGGCACGGAGGCGTTCACAAAGTCCAGAATGATCCGTGCTGTTTTCCTGTTGCTGCAATGACTCCAGCTGGAACTCGACTGTAAAACCATCGTCCTCAAGAACAGCTTCTGCACCGACCAGGCTTTCAGAGCTGTGGACGTAGAGAGTATGAAATGATTGGTAAAACAAATGTCTCAGAACACATCATTCAGATTTTGACCGTAAAAAAAACTATAAAATGAGCACATGTCGCTACCTCTGCTCTGAAAAAACACTGGACAGATACCTTCCACCAAAAATTTAATAATTCAATTTCAGTCTGAAAAAACAGGGCGACAGTAGCTCAGTTGGTAGAGCATTGGCCTTTGGGCCTGAAGGTCGTGGGTTCAAGCCCACCATAAGACCTACTTCATGACTCCCACTGATGACTGCTGTCGTTGTGCCCTTGGGCAAGACACTTAACCCTACTTTGCCCAAAGCCCCAACTGAAAGATCTCAGCTCCTGTGGACTCACCACCTGCAGGAGGATCAGTGAGGGGCTGGTGCTAAGTGTACTGGGTGCAGCTCTGACTGCCACCCCCCCGACCCAGAAATGGATTAAGGGGAAGAAAATGGATGGATGGAATTTCAGTCTGAAATAAAGATTAATAATAATAATAATAATAACAATAAATGTGATGGCGAACAATGAAACCTGCAAACAGAAGGACACCTTCTCTAAAGAGATTTGGGGACTTTTATGTCTGTTTTCAGTGTGTTATGTCTTGTCTGTTTTTTGTTCTTGACCACAAGTCTATAATAAAGCTATCCATCCATCCATTACAATCATTTGAATCAATAGGGTGAGTATTAACACTAGAATACCCAGATGTTTGAAACTACCAGAACTCCCAGAGCCGTCATTTTGACTGCTCCCATTAAAATCAATTCAATTCTGAAAAGTTTGTGAGTTTATCATCACTTTTATTCATTTTTACCTTTGCTCACTTTTTAACAAGTACTGCACTGGTGAATATAACTTGAAATACAGAAAAAACCACGACAGGCTAATGCTAACTGGTAGCAAGTTAACAGTATGTTGCTATGGTTACTAGCGCTTTCTCGTCCCTTCTTCCCTGCAAAATAAAATAAATAACATAAATAAACTACATAATACTCAAATTTGGCTAAATGTATCTTGATTTGAGCACATTTTGAATGCCTTAAAACAGATTTGCAAATGGAACAAGCTAAATTATATTGTCTTAAAAAGATACAACATAAAGAAAAAGTTAATGAAATAAGACTGGCTTTGAATGTTCTCAGATTAATATAAAAAACCACTTAATTCAAGCAATTATCACCTCGTATTTTGAACATTTTTTTGCAGTGTAAAGAAACAGAAGAAGTCAAAAAGTTAGGAAGACGTGACAAAAATGTGACGACAATGTAACAAAAAATGTGACGATAAAGTGACAAAAATGTGACGACAATGTAACAAAAAATTTGACAAAGATGTGACCATAATAGGACGACAAGGTGACGATAACGTGACCATAAGGTGACAAAGATGTGATCATAATGTGACAAAGATGTGACCATAACGTGACAAAAATGTGACGACAATGTGACAAAAATGTGACAACAATGTGACAAAAATGTGACTATAACGTGACAAAAATGTGACGACAATGTGACAAAAATGTGACAAAATGTGGCCGTAATGTGATAAAAAATGAGACAATAAAAAGAAAATTACAAAAAAAAAAAAGTTAGGAAGATAATTTTTTTTTACATGAGCTTAGAAAACACTTTTCTAAAACTAAAAGTCGTCAAATTGACTGCTGCGGGAGTTCGAGGATAATGTAGCTGAAGTCAACTGAAGACAACATGAGATTCTAGACAGACTGTTTCCTTCACTTATACACTACATATCCGGTTATATCATGAACTCTATGCCCCGATGCAGCCAGAAACAATCCCAAGAAGCCTTTCAAACATACTTTTCTTGATGACTCTGCAGTTTTTAGAGAATTTAATCCCATTATCATCCAATGCATAACACTATAGCCAAGAGAAGAGCATAAATGTCATGATGGTGATTTAGTTCCATGTTAATAACCAGCAACAGGGCAGACTGCATGACCACAATCATATAGAATTGTGGTATGTACTCTGAAATGTGGAATATAAGCTTGTTTAAAATGTAGATGTATTAAACTATCCATGGTTTTATTGCGGACAGTAAATTGCTTTTGGCACAGAGCACTTAGCAGAATCACGACTGCTGACTCAGGTCTGTGTGGCCAGAACCAGGAGCCAAAAACCAAGAGGTGCAGCAAAAGTTGGATGATGGGTCCAAGAAAAAAGATGAACGCAAGGCCTGAGACTATAAACTAAAGGAGGGGTTTTAATGAGTACCTCTAATTTTCCACAGGTTTGAAGTTGGAAAAGTTGCCTTGACATTTTCAGATGACCAAAACAATTAGTAAGAAGCGTTTGGTGTTCTGTTTTTAACTCTCTTTGCTTCATTACTCATTTTGTATTTCAATGTCCATTTTTTTGAATGACTCATTACTTTCTGTGTGTGACCTCATATTCCAATGCAGGGAAATGTGTGCTACGGCCGCAGTCTGAGGCCAACTGTGAACAATGTTAGTAAAGAGGAGCTGACCTGGTTAGTAGTGTGATGGGAGACCTCTGGGAACACCTTAGGTGCCACAGCGGCGTGGCAAGTGTTGTTGTTTCCTTAGGCAAGACTTCACCACACCTTGCCATTGTGCATCAAAGGTTGGTGGTGGTCGGGGGGGGGCGAGGGCACATACTGGTTGCCTCGCTTCTGTCAGTGTGCCCTGGGCAGCTGTGGCTACAGTAGTAGGTAATCACCACTGTGTACAGAGTGGGTGAATAATGTCCTGTGAGGGTCCTTTGAGAGTCCACCAGGGTCTAGATTTTCACCAATCTCCCTCATGTGGGGGTCTGGGGGTGTGAGGTCGACTGTAAACTGGGCCATTGTGCTTTATACTGTGGATATTCGTGATTTGATTTGATTGGAGTTCTGAAACTTAACAGTTAAACTTTTGAATAACTAATACATCAAAGAGCATATAGTGTACAGTAGATGTTGTTGTCCTTACCGAGCAGTGCAGCATAGTCGCTCTCCTCCAGAGTCTTGTTGAGGGACAGGACCCCGCTGTGGAGGTCCATGCTGAACCAGGAGCTGTACAGTGGGACTTTGTGAGCGCTGGGCCAGCACAGGTAGAAGTGAGGCCTCTCTGAGGCACTGTCCAGCAGGGAGTGGAGCTGGAGCAGGGGGGTCCCAGCCGCCTGTCCCACGTACACCGTCTCTGTGTACTCCGTCTGAGGGAAGTACAGGCAGACGGCTCCTACGGGACGAGACGAGGACATGTTCAGAAATGTGGCTGGTTAAATTATGAATTCATAGAATTAGTGCAGAAATAATGAGTTGAAAAGCGACAGGCTGAGAATAAAACATTTACTAAAGAGCATTATACTGCTGTGCTAACAACTGCTAAAATGTGGGGGCTACAAAGTGAAAGCCCGCCCTCTTTTGGGCATTTATTATGATTTCTTTTCTTGACTTCTTTGCCCTGAACCTGTGTGTGTTTGCATGGGACTATAGTGATGGAATTTTGGATACCTGTGGATACATCTGACTGTATTGAATTTCAAATATATAAAAAAGCGCCTAACTTTCAAACAACAAACTCTTGAAACATGTAATAAAACAATTTCACTTGTATTTTGGTCTTTGTCACATCTTTCTCAGACAAAAAAGATTTTTTCTCAAAATGTCAATGTTGGAATGTTATTTATGAAAACAGTTAAGCACCCAGCTTTAAACAAAACTCAAAACAATTAAATAGTTCAGAATCTGCATGCATTGGACAACATAAAACAATCTCTGCTCATCTCGATCTAATTTGATCAAATCCAGATAGATGCAAGGTTTTAACTGTATCATTATAATTGCACAGATGAATTTGTAAGTTCATGTTTTTATGTGGAAAAGAGATTCATATTAGGACATACATCTTCTGTTGTAAATAAGGGTGATGATGATTAGACAGTAGAGAAGTAAAAACACTTCAATCTAAGGCAAAATGTAATCTCTGCCTAGTTTTAGATATCCCATAGATAAGATCCATAAACACTGATATTCCACACTGATATGTGGGTCAGCTGTTATTACAGATCAGGAAGCAGCTTTTATAAGTGTCTTCCTCTGCATTCATCAAAAGCCTCTGAACGACACAGATCTATGAACGACAGGTGTGAAGTGTCGGCCGGCGTCAGCGGAAACACGGCGTCTCACATGACCCGCCGCTCTCTTCATGAGTTTCTCGCTCAGTCGATGGAGCTGGTTTCCGGTTCTCCTTGAGTTCACCTTGAGATGTTTAATTACAAGGACAAAACAGATCTCATGATATGTATCGTTAGCAGGCAGAGGCGGAGGTCATGGATAGAACCAGGTGTCAATCAACACGTGGCTCTTCAGTACATATTATATTACCAACATCAGTGAGATTTTAGATTATATTTGTGTCTATGTCATCTTTGTTATTGATGTGAAAACATTCCAACATTTATTTATGAAAAACTACCAATCGAACTGATTACTAATACTGTATATCGGCCATTTACCAATCTGCTGGTTGTGGGCCAAACAATTTAATTAGTTAACCCAATATTGGTAGTAATGACCGATATATTGGTCAGAATTAACCATTTATATCGGTTGGTGCAATACCAAATAACTTGGTTGAAAATACTATGTAGTGCTGTCCATGTTTATATTCATCTTGACCAGTTGCATCTGTGGTGTCGCCTGCATTTGAAATCATCATGTCAGACCTTTGAAACTAAACTGGGCAGGACCTGGTCACTACTGCGATGGGAGACCCCTGGGTTTTGGCTCAACATATTAAATAAGGGAACAAAGTACTTCCATCTAGGCTTATTTTTAAATGCATTTTTCTTTCTTTTAAAATGTCTTCTAATTATATAGATTGCTCTGATTACAACATTACCCTGATATACAAGAAAATCCATTCAACTTTCATTCTGGACGTTCATCGCCCTGAGGATTCTGAACTTCAAAACCTCCAATAGAACCAACAGCTTCAAAGTTAAAAAAGAATTTGATCAAGAAATGATAAAGAATGACATAATGCCGCAGGGAAACCTGTTCAAGAATCAAAGAAAAAACTCCACTGGCAACAACAGCAGAAAAACAAGTCCTTTCCATCACACAAAACCCACATTACAAAACCAATGATTTAATACTGGGCCAAGACTGAAATGGGTCCAAACCATGAGTCCGGTTTACATTGCATTACAGTGTTTGTATTTGTGGGATGTTTCTCCTGGTCATGCGGCCGTCTTCCATCCACCAGGGACTGCGCTAAAGTCATTATCACTAAACTAAACCTGATTTTCTATTTCTGCAGCAGCCTTCGCTCTGAGCTCTGGCCCGGATTTGATTTGTGGGGTTGACAGGAGCAGACAAACGCATCACATCGGGCTGTTTTTCTTATGTCTTAAATATTTACCGGAGCTGAAGCTTTATATTATTGAACAAATGTGAAATGTGAACTAGCAAGCAATAGATGGACAAATAAAACAAATAAATATAAGTGCATTGCTCAGATGCGTTTTCTGTTGTTTTATTGTTAGTATGGCATAACTGTCTCTTTGTACTTTCACGGCTCTTTTAGGGCAAGTCATGGGCCAGATTGGTCGATTTTAAACACTATGCTACTATGAAAGAAGAGATTTTTTCTTCCCTTCTCTCTTTGACCAAATATTTGTTGTAATGATATCACAATAATAGTCTTCTTGCAGGAATTCACAAGATTTTAGATCAAACCGAACAGCAAAAACTGTCAGTGGTTATTCATTCACTCATTTTCAACCCCTTTTATTAATCCATTTCTGGGTCGGGGAGTGGCAATGAGAGCTGCCACCCAATGCTATAGCACCGGTCCCTCGCTGATCTTCCTGCAGGTGGAGAGTCCGCAGGAAGATGGCTTCTGATCCATAAGCGGTGACACAGCCTTGTTCTTTCAACGGGGGTTTCAGGCAACATGGGGTTAAGTGTCTTGCCCAAGGACACAACGACAGTAGACATTAGTGGGACCAGTTAAAATAGGTCTTGTGGGGGGATAGAACCCACAACCTTCAGGCCCAAAGGCCATTGCTCTACCAGTGGCCAGTGGTCAATAAAGTATGAATAAAAACAATTTTAAATGTCCCAGAAATATCACAGAACTGGTTTTAATAATCATTGACATTGATTGATAAAATAAAGCATTTCTAATGGAGTAATGGATTGTCCTCCTAAAGAATTTGCCATCACTGCTGAACAAATAATCAAAACATGCTATTTCTATTATAATATTTCACTTAAAAGCTGGGGTACCTAACTTTCAAACCACAAAAAGGAACTATTCGATGATCAATCTTTAGCTCTCAAAAGAGTTTGGTTCTCTTCGTATATATTTTTGGCCTCTGTCACATCTTGTCTTGAAAATATTAAAGTTAAAAAGAGTGAACCACTGTTACTCAATCTCAGCCCAAAGCTTCAAATAGTGCCCCTTTCTCACATTTTTCTCTAATAAGATTAAGACAGAATGTGACAGTCTGTATTTTTCACATTTAACTTTGACAAAACCTTTTCTGTTGGGACAAAGACAATGTATTATTTTTCATGTTATGTACCCCAGCTTCAATGGTCATATTTTGTGTTGAATACTTGATGAGATGCAATGAAACGTACTTTTAGCATCATCAAGTGTCTCCCGCCCCCCACTTTGAGAACCACTGACCTATCACAATAGAGTCAAGTATAAATGGAACCAAATCGTGTCTACATGTGTTTCTCTGTGGGATGAATAAGGATCTCTTCATAGTAAAACGTTTTTAATCGTCCAAAACAAAACAGGACAACAATCTCTGGTATTTGCAATTGTAGTTTTTCTCATCTTGAATTTCAGATCTTATTTTAGCATCAACCTCAAGTCTATTCCTGCTCAGACATGGATCTGTTGTTGAAGTGGTCTCCTCTCACGACACTGACCCCATTTGTTCGGGACATTACTTATTAATGTTGGGAGCAGTGGTTTGTGGCTCAATCTTCCTCCGCACAGAACAATTAAAGAAAGCTATTTGCCAGTAATAATAATGAGAAAGTACAAAGGAACTGCGGAAACAATCTCATTAAACAGGCTAATGGTAAATAACTGAATCCATTAATTCAGTGGTTTATCTCTGGGGTGAAGTCATTTCCTCGGTGCCCATTAGAGGGAGCTATTCCCCCAGTGACATGAAGCAGAGTCCAGACAACAAACCAAAACAGCAACTAAACAAACAACCCAGGTCTAGACCATGGTCCAGACAAGACTCAAAACATGAAAACTATCCACTTTTCATCATATAAAAAACAAGCAAACAAATCAAAGAATACTAAAGTGTGAGGTTTGGATTCCAATTCAATTTACTTTTGTATAGCCCTAAATCACAACAACCATAGTGGGGAAAAAAGGGAGAAACCTTGGGGAGGCCCACATTGAGAGCGAGATCCACTCTCAGGCTGTAGATCCAGGACTCAGGCTGTAGAACGAGGACTGAGGCTTCAAAATTCAAAAGTTGAAATTAGAGATTTCACACATTTGAGAGACAGCCTTTTCCAGACTTTCTTTCCAGCAGAGTTTTCAGAGTCATATGCAAGTAATCTTTTTTTTATATAGCGCATTTTACAGACCAAGGTCACCAAAGCGCTTTATAATTGTTAAGAGTTCAGATATTTATCCATTCCCTCCACTCGGTGATGACAGAAGCGTGACACCCGGACACATTGGCTCATTAAAGCCCCCAATCAACACCATCCATTCATATGTGTGCAAAATGTGGTCTCCTGACTTTACTGCAATGTCTCTCCTGGTGTTAAGCACATTCAGCTGTGTGTTATTTGTTTTGCACATACTATACAGTGCTACACAAATAAATGTTCATCTTAAATTCTGAACTGTGTCTTGGTATATGGCGTATTGTCATATTTTAGTGATACCCAACTGCATTATACATTGTACCACCCCCTAAATGGCGTATATGACAACCCAACATGTGATATTTACATGTTGTTTGCTACTGTCACTTATCATAATATAATATTTTTTTTATTTAGCATCTTGTTGAATTGTAAGAAAACACACCACTAGTCTGCAACAAACTAGATCATTGTTATAATGTATGTTTGTCTAATGAAAAAGGTCTATGTTTGCATCTATCTTATGGTTAAGGTTATTAGGGTAGGAGTTAGTTCTGATTTGAGATAAACAATAACATTTTGTAGAGGAAATTCCTAGTCCATTTTGTGAAATTGACAC